TATGCTGCTGCACGCAGGTTAGACTCACTTACTGTGACTTAGAGTCACCAGTTGGAAGCGTTGCCGCTTTGCGAGGCATATTACCAATACAAGTGCAGTCATCATGATCATTATCTTGACTGTTGTAGCTTACCATGGACAGGTGCTGTACCTCGCCTGGCCCTAGCTAGGCCAGTACTGCAGTCTAGTACAGGGCCCACTATTACCTGATTACATACTGTAATTATTAGTACTAGCCTAGGCCCTACGGAACAAAAATTAAATTATTGTCCTGATGTATGCATGTAGTGTGTGACACTCAGCTGATCTGACAGTACTACTGAGTCTGACTCCGCGTGTGCTAGTAACCAAATAAAAAGCAAAACAAAACTTTCTTGGTTGTTTCTCGCTCTACAACGCCTAGCCCTAGCCTAGGACTACAACTAGAAACCAGTTCAGTTTGTAGCTTCTTCCGCTCAGGCGCGGTGTTGTCATCTGGTCGCCCGGTCATCATGGTCATTTTATTGGACATGTCAGCAGCGTGGAAAAGTCCGGAACTAGATGTTGACAGAGTTTTCTAGCTGTGGTGAATGAGGAAACAAGATACAGTCAGTGTACTACTAGTATCGGTCGGCACCATGTGGTCTAGATCGCGGAGGCTGGATTGCTCGGCGTCGACACTGCACCTGTCAGCGTTGATCGTGTTTGCTACTCTGTCTCTGGCTATGATAAAATTGTCAAGGTCTGAAGGCGATATTCCGAGCATTGGACCAGGTTTGAGTTCAATAATGAATCGCAGTGCATCGCTCATCGTTGGGATGGCCATGGCAAACCACGAGAGATACAGTTTGTTAGCTGGAAATTGCGTTGGACCGCTGGGATTTGAAGCAGCTGAGGATCTGGAAACGACGAGGGTTATGTTCGATAGGTTATCAAGGCGATCCAACGCTCGCGTGTCACTGGGATATCTCTATTACGACATCTGCGAGAGCTATAGACTGGGATTGGAGGCGTTTCAAGTTATGACCCCCTACTTTCCGCTGAGACAAGATCAATGCTTGCTAAATGTGGCGGGCCTTCAGCTCCGCCAGGACACGCTGAGACGCTTCATCCGAACGAGAAACAACACCGTGTTTGCGATCCTGGCGGAGAGGGCGAGATTGCCGATTCGGGAGGACTCATCACCAGTCGACTTCATCACTCTAATGAGTCTGTTCGGTGTGCCACAAGTTTCCCACTTGGAATCTGCCCAGTCCTTCGACAATAAATTAGAGTACCCCACATTCTTCCGGACCTCGATATCCGTTGGCATTCAGGCCAGGACAATAGTGGATGTGCTGGAACGACTGCAGGTGACATCCTTCATAATCCTTTCCTCTCCTTCCAAAGAAGAGTTCTCAAGGCAGATCATTGAGGATGCCAGACAGCGTCCATCATTGCGACCACCCTGCGTTGTGTATACGGCGCTCATCCATATCAATGACGAGAAAGGGAATAGGCGTGTTGTCAACGTCCTGACACAGTCTCGGCGTGTTAGGCGAGTGGTGATTATGCTGGCCAGCCTTGTAGAAGCACAGCCGTTTCTCAGCATGCTGGAAAGTAGCCCAGTGTCGAATATTGTGTGGATAGGCAATACGGACTGGGCATGTAGATATGATGTGACACACAGTCCAGCAGTGAACACACTCATTGCCATGTGTCCACCAGAACGGGACGACATCCGAGAGGACCTGAACGCTGTCAAAAGTCATTTTGTGGCGCTGCGCTCAGACTCGCCGGAACTGCGCTCCAACATTAACCTGCAGCTGTTCTGGCAGGAGAGATTCGCGTGTCGCTTACCGTATGTAACGACACAGCAGCACCAATCGTTGCCAGTTTGTGACGGCGGCGAGCATCTGTTGGCTGACACATTGCCTGTGTTTCGCCGGGCACCCGCTCTCATTCTGGCTCTGAGAGCATTGGCCAATGCAGTTGACAACACCCTGTCTTCGGCTGACCCGCGTATCGATATCAGTGAGGTACTACGTAACGTTACAACACCGTGTCCTGACGGCAGTGCGCGTACATGCTACCTATTCAATTACAACCAATCGCCCGAGTATGAAGCACTGCAGGTGTGCTACAAGACATCCAATGTGGATAGACTCGTGGCAATATTCGACTGGAATGCGCGTACTGGACTCGGACCAGCGAAAACAGCAGCCACTGGGGATTCGCCAAGCATGGCTGCTAACAGAAACAACGCCAATCCCGAAGCCGCATCGTCATCATCAGACTCTGGTAATGCAACTAACAGTGGAAGTATACAGCAGTTGCCACTGTTTGAGATTGACTTTGATGGCTTCTGCAACGCACAGTGTCTGCCTGGACAGGTTCTGGTGGCGGATAGGCTTGCCCCAGCGTGTTGCTGGTCATGTCAAGAGTGCGATGGCAGTCTGCAGTATTCCAGCACGGCCAATGCAAGCCAGTGTAGCGAGTGCCAGCTGGAACACACACGCGCTAGTGACGATCACACGCACTGCGTTGACATTCCCATTGAAAGGGTTTACTGGACACATCCCCTGCCAGTAGCTGGCACGGTGATCATCATTGGACTCCACGGCACGCTCCTTGTTGTCTCCTTGCTCCTCAACATTGCAAACAAAGACACGCCAATCGTTACAACGACCGGTTTCTTCAACAGCATATTGCAGCATGTTGTACTGCTGTACCTTCTCTTCACTATTCCCCTGCAGTACCAGACTGGAAAGCTGAGCAGTGGTCGTTGTCTTGCTATTCAGCTGGTGCCGTTCACAGCTGTGTGGATGACAGTCGGCTTGCTGCTGGACAAAAACAAACTAGTACACCGGGCATGGGACAGGAGCCTGCTCAAAGGCATGTCTGCCAAGGCACGTACTGTTGCGTTGTGTGGTGCCGTAACGAGCATTGGGTCACTCATTCTGGGACTGCGTTTACTGAAGCAATCCCTAACTCCGGTGGCATCACAGCTGGACCGCTTTACTCGTTTCCAGGAGTGCGGAGATCAGACTTGGTTTACACAGCTGAGTATATATCACATTGCACTGATGGTGTTGTGTCTGAGCCTGGCTGTTGTGACACGGAACGACAGCGGTGGGTTTCGTCAAGCACGGCTCGTGACGATGTCCAGCTTTCTGGTGACGATAGTCTGGTTGATTGTACTGGCAGTGAACCCAGCAATTCCCATTGACCAGAAGCCAATTCTGCACACGGTCAGCTTCTTTGTACACGCTACAGCCATCATCTTCCCACTGCTGGCACCACGCATGTACGTGATGGTTTTCCGCCCGGCTGACAACAACATGAAATTTGCCAACCGCTCCCCCGCCATGGGACGCAAGGGAGAGAGTGCAGGACGCAAGTATCTAGCAGACCTGCAAGCTACACCTGAAAACACGCAAGCTGCCGGTGTTCGCCACATCAACACAGTAAGCAGTTCTAATGGAGTACAGGGTGGTGTTACGCAGGGCAGCCCCGCAGTTTCCCCAGAGCGGAGACGGTCACTACCGACAGTGTTCAAATTGTCCACGGATACAAACTCTACTTCAAGGCCCAGGTCACCAAGCTCTCAGCTGCGCAACCGACGCTCACTGCAGCTGTCAGCTTCTGCACCGGTGAATGACAATGGTACAGCGGTGACGGCGTCATCACCTGCTAATTCTCCACTCTTTACGGATATAGAATTACCACCAATACCAACTGTGCATGGCAAGACCAATACAGAGCATGCTGTAGCTGCTGCTAAGACATCAGCAGTACCAGCTGGACAAGCAGAGTGTTCCTATGACACCAGTACACATCAGCACCACACTGACCAAACGGACAGTGACAAATTAGCTGAGGAAGATCATGGGGCTGATGATATCGAGTCCTCTGACGCTCACATCCCTCCCTACCGGCAACAGCAAAAAGTCTCGCCAGCACCATCAGACGCCACAGCAACACCAGAGACAACACGCCTCCGAGCAGAGAGTGACGACTCCTCGAAAACATTGGACTCGGATGACAGCATTCACTGCCACAGCCACGCGCACTCGCGCACATCATCTGTCCACCCAGCCAGCAGTCGCAACAGTACGTGCTCCAACTATGGCACCGAGCTGCCACCCGCAGATCACGAAAAGTGCAGGGACCCTTTGAAGATGATTTCTGGAAACATGGCCATACAAACTAACACTGGAATAGAACCAACCATATGAAGCGGGCTGATAGTAGTGACACCACTGGAGCAACAAGAACAGCTACATGTGTAGTGTACGTGTACTATAGGCTTTTCCGCATTGGCATCACCAAGCAAGCTTGGCAAGCCTTCGCAAAAGCTGATCTATGGTAACATGACAAAACAAAACAATGGATGCATGTACATACACTTTAAAAAAATGATTACAAGACTTTGTATCACATTAAACTGTGTGCCATTCTTAACCTCTCATTCACTTGTTTCAAATGCAGTTGACTGCTCGGGTATTCCATCAGTTGTACTTGTAGGCTTCATTCACCCGTTTCTTCACACGACCTTGACGGCACAGGAGAGGACACAGTCTTGAGCCACAGAAACATGATGAACAATACAAAGTGTCTCTCCACTTCTCAGAACCGACATTGAAATTAATTGTTTAGTCAATGGCTTAGGCGTATGCAGGCTTTATTCTGGAAAACTCAACATTAAATTTTGACATTTCCACCATGGCTACTGAAGAAAATCTCCTGGAAACCAACGTTCGATGGCCATTTACCATCACCTGGTACGTTGTAAGGGGGGGGGGGGGTACAGCTTTCAAAAGCTCAATAAGTCATATATTATGCTGTTGCCGACCCCCACACAATCATATTATGACAGTGTTTCCACTCGGTATGCACAGAGCACAGGCGGATGTACTGTCGATGAAATAGTCCTGAATACAGGCTCGTATTTGTGCGGTCTAAGTAACTGTTTCTCTTGCTAACAACAACCCAGAGTTGAACCTTGGCACAAAGGCAGCAACACCACACTACAGCCACCATTGACATGTAAGTACTAGTACTACTACCGTGTAGTGTTATGAACAAAATTAAACTGGCGCTCATGTCAAACAACAAAGCAGCAAACTAGTATTCCTTTAACATAAGTCGAACTACGCATTATGATTGGATAGCTGATAGGAACTAAACTCCTCAGATAGTCATACTAGAAAATAGAAAATCCACATATGAAAATTGAAAACCAAAAGAAGTGCATGGGAGAAGGTAGTAAAGAGGCTGTGGCCAGCACATCTCAAGGACAACACGCGTGTACAGCTCAACTCAGCTACAACACCGTCCGTGGACCTGAAGACAGGTGACAGCACTCTCCATGACATAACTTTCAATAAACCGGATTTCCTAAGTTCAAATAGCCAGGAAGGTTACTAAAAATCCAACCTGCAGTGAATGCTGCAGTGCAGCGACAGTATACTTGACCGCACGACAACAGTTTGAAAAGCATGAAAATCGGCCACATACTGGTGCATCTGATCATGAGCGCATCCGATCATGAGCGCATCTGATCACGCACAGACCATGTGCACATACGTGTTAGAATAAAGGAGCATTGCTAGTGCAATGACATCATCAGTTCATGCACAAGCACATGACAGTGTGTGAATTGAGTTGTGGAGCTGGACAGTTCCTCCACAGCAGCCTATTGGTCATACTTCAAGACTTCAATCCAGTAGCCATCCGGATCCTGAATGAAGGCAAGACCCTTCATTTTACCTGCAGAGAAGCAAAGTTTAGCAAACACACACACACACACACACACATCCACAGCACATGTCACTACACGTACACACATGAAGTTATGCATAATGTACATGTACATGAGTGCATACAACATGGATGACTAGAGTACACAATTATTCAGATTACAGTAAGAAGCAGACGTACCGCCATCCGGAGTCTTGATAAACTTAACACCGAGCTTCTCAAAGCGTTCACAGGCAGCATACACATCAGGCACAGAGATACCAATATGACCTAAAACAACAAGAAAGAGGGGTCATCGTTTAGCACACAAATTCATGGCACAACTGCAAGGACAAGCACACGGACAGAAAACAGAGGCAGAAGACCCACTAGAAGCAGAGCCTGGTGTGCCAAATGACAGCATGCAAATCATTTTCGTACTAACTGCATGTAATCACCGGAAACTCGCTTTCAAATCACGAATGCCAGAGAGGTTAGAACCAAATATGTTCACAGCAGATATCGTGAATATACCGGTACAGGTCGTCCCCCGTTAATACGAGTCAGGTTAGTACATAAACCCAGTTAGTACATACGAAATCTCAAGTTCCAGACGAAACATGATCACTTCCATGCAAACTTTAGTACATAAACCCCGTTAGTACATAGCATTTCCTCCGCACCCGCATGCCACCTACAGTCAACTTTGCGTATAACGACACTCGGCGGGGCATCAGAAAAGTGTCCTTGTTCGCGAAGTACCGTTATACCCGAAGTCTCATAATAAATGACATAATTATTGTATTCAGTTCGATGGGACTTTGTGCTGGACATGGAAATGCTGTCGTTATTCGCGAATTGTCGTTATTAGCGAAGTCGACTGTACCTCAATAGTACATAATTTGTTGGTCTTTCGGCCTCCCAGTGGAGACACATCGTGTTCCAGTTTCTTCTTGTGAAATTGTGGACGCAATCAGCTCAGAGATCGCACATCACACACAGTTGCGCGTAATGGAACATTAATATTGTGCGACACTAATGTTCGGTCCGCTGCTGTCTCTTGATGAATCTTTCCGTTGTTCTAGTTCAGTATCATTAGTTGTAGACCATCGCTCTCCATGCCGGATTGTCCCTTGCCCGCTCAGTCGCCAGGTCGAGATCCCGCACTCGTTTAGTACACAAACCCCGTTAACCTCTTTAGCGCGAGCGTCGTACTAGTACGACGCACATGAGTTGCATGCCCCACGGCCGTCGTACTAGTACGACGCGCGCTGTACACTGTACAGTGAACCTGCATCTCATAGTCGTGGGGTCCGTGTTGAGTCCATAGTGACTTGTTCAAACTATCGCAACTCACTCAATACTTGGTCGATTCTCACAATCGAAACATGTATCTGCAAGAGAAAACTCTCAGCTGGCGATAGAAACAATCGCCGAAGCGATGCGACTACCGGTTGTTGAGATATGCGACTCGACACGGCAAATTTCAACTCGATTTTTTTGCGCAGTCTGCAGAACGCGTATTTTCCATCATGGATCCTTTTTGCGCTACCTGCTGCCATGGAAACAAGATTCAAATGATGGTAGTGGATCCCGTGAGTCCTCACAAAAAATTTGAGCTCGATACGAGCAAGGAGACCGAAATGGCAGCTGAATATTTGAGCTTGGTTAGTTTTGGCGTGCTCAAGTCTGTCGAGCGCGTGGATGAAGTTTGCCAGACTGTAGCACGGGGTTTTGGTTTCGCTCCGAGCTGGGTTTGATACCAGGTTGTCCCTCGTCTCACGACCTTTCCAGGAAGCTCAAGATCGTGGAATTCGTCCAAGGGAAGGTAAAGTTATCGATCCTTGAGCAGCTAGTACTTTCATGGGAAAATGCGACTTTTACAGGTGTTGACGTGGGGCGCGCTCAGGTAGCGTCGTGCTAAAGAGGTTAATACATAACATTCTTCAAGTCCCAGAGATTATGTATTAACGAGGGACAACCTGTAGTTAGGAAGCGTTTTTTGGAAAGTGGTTGTCCCAACTGTAATACTGAGTTTGGGAGTGTGAAAAAGGCTTTCCGGCATCCGATATGCACTTTTTCTGTGGCCAATAACAAGTACCGAGTATTACTGACTAGAAACCGGCAGGATTGTTTCTACCCACTATATCTGATTCATAAACTTCATCTTACCGAACCCACGAGGGTCACTATTGCCATTGTGATATCCCTGAAATGACTCATCGGTATCTGTTCCATAGTTGCTATACACACACACACGCAAGCACACACACACACACACACACACACACACACACACACACACACACACACACACACACACATACGCACATGTACGTGCACACATTCGTACACAAATACACACAGACACACACACATGCGCACACACAAGCACACATACGTTCGTACACACACAGCATGTAGAGATATACTTCTGTAGTGTTCACGTTCAGCAAAGTGAAATAGGGCAACCGGGAAATGACGGCAGGGACATACTTCTAGACATGTACACTGGGATTGCTCTGCAATCTTACTATGTCAACTCGACCGTGGCCTTCCTACTCCACAACCAGCGTGCCCGTGCAGCATCATCCTCGGGAATGTCCTCCGCTGCTTCAAAGCCACAGAAGTACAATGTGAACTTCATGTCCGGAAAGTCAAGCTTCTTCAGCAGCCTGCATAGAGGACATACGAACGCACAGGCACACATACACACATGCACATACGTTTACGAGTCGTTTGTATTGCCTTGCTCACTGCTCAGTGCCGTAGAAGCCCCCCCCCCCCCCCCCCCCACACACACACCCATGGAAAAGCTCTTAGAGCCGAGGCTGCAAGTTCTTCCAGTCCTGTGCACTACCTGGTGTGTAAGTATATGGACACACAAGTGCATGCTCACAGGCACAGCATGCCACTGCTGTACGCTACTAACGGTGCGTATCAAAATTGCACACAAAACTCAAAAGCGTACCTCGCCGTATGCAGTGATGTCACGAATTGCCTAGCAAGCACCATTGTACAGGTATGACAGTGTACTGCACTCTAAAGGACCGGGGGCAAAGCTACCTTAAACAACTACTAGTATCTCAGAATCTGCTCAGAAGGATGATAGTGACACATGGTTTGCTTTGTTCTACATGTACTACTGGTAATAAGTTTGTAATTTGTGGGCTTCAGGTAAAAAAATTATTATTTTAACCAACAGCAATTACACACCCACGACCGAGATCTGAACATACACCGTCACACACCACGTCAAGAGTACATGTATACAGCTAGGTTCAACTAGATAGTTAGATTCCGCAGCCGTACCTCATTCCTAAAATTCTGGTGTAAAAATCGAGGGACACTTTGGGATCACGAATCCTCATCATCGTTTGTTGCATAATGAAATCTTTCGTGGACGGGTCGGGGGCACCACACACCCCGGGCTCATCGCTGCCTGGATAACCACTAGCCATTCTGTATGCCTGCCTGGCGAGAAAGCCTTGTCTGATAGCCCTTTTCAAACTACTTTGCAGTGATACTCCAAACATCAAGCTCGTTGGTCGATTTGGAAAAAAATACTGCAGATACGAAAAACATTCAAAAACAAGACGCAGTGGGCACGTGCATGTCACGCGAGACGTTCGTTTTCGATCTACTATACAGGTTTGGCTAGAATCTACTTCTTTCGGTAGATGTGTTTGTTTTCCTCTACCTCAAACGGTAGATTATTAATATTCTACCGGCTCTACCAGGTTTGTCAGGGTGGTAAACATGGTAAAAGTCGGTAGAAGTTGGTAGAGGCTCGGTATTTCTGTCTGAACATGAGAGCATATAGCAGGTTTCCCACAAATATCGTACATCGTGCTGTGAATCAGCGTCGCTACCCAAATGGGTAGATCTACGTTTGTGAACACTATCTATCGTCTTTTCTTTTCCAACATCCAGAGACTCGTTCTTGTTCGAGGGGTCTTCTCCTCTTTCACCTACCTTCATCTTGGCATCGAAAACTCGGCATCGAAAATGAAGCCGGAGTGCCCCTTTAACCCGTCCCCGGCTGGCAGGCCAACCGTTCACTGTACTCCCCTGGGCAGGGTCCCAAGGCAACGCCATTGAGTTGCTTCTCCGGTAGTTTGGAGCTTCCTTGAAGTAAACTTCTGCCGTATACTACAGAGGCATCGGGCGGTGCGGTCAGCCATCGGAGGTGCATCTTTAGTCAGGCGAGTGCCCATCATGGGGCCGTCCCTGTTCGTTTTTTGAAATATACAGACAACATTATCGTATATAAGGGAACATGTACCTGGGGGTGAAAACTGGTACTGTGGTAGAGTCAATACCATAATGACGGTAACGTGTCCGACGTCCCTAAAGTAAGTCATGGTATACCGGTATGGCCAGACCGGGCCGGGAGTGACTGTAAGTCCCAGATCGTGCGGCGGATACACCGAGCAAGTAATGTGAAGACAACATCATCCGGCTGCGGCAGTGTGATGCAGGGGCATGAGTAACTGGGCACAATGCATGCTGCCGCCCGCAGCCCCACTGCTGCAGTCGCCAGTCTGCGATTAACAACCGTATCAGTAGACACCCTTAGCAAAAAACGTTATGTTGTAACGGTATTATCGTAAGGGGGAAAATACCGTGATTCGGGTTCGACCTTTAGCAAGATGCACGCTATTTTTAGTACGCTGTTGCCACGAGAATAGCTTTGATTTCGCGCGGTACAACCATTTTTGTCACCATATACGAGATACAAGGTGAAATGCGTACGGACTATGCAATATTTGGCTAAAACACGTACCGTTGGTCACAACGATAAATCAGCCCCCATAACGTTTATACCAGGGAGTCGTAAATATGGTATTTGACGACTCCCTGGTTTATACGCTGCAGCTTCAACGCTATTTGGGAGATCAAGGTATGAGTACCGTAAAAAAATATCGTTACCGTTGTTTGCTAAGGGTGTCTAGTATCTACCGGTACCTGGACTGCTGGAGGGCCACTGACCTCAGGCTCACAATACATCCCTTTCCTACTACTAGTAACCATGGTAACCGGATTACTAATACTACTATTACAGTCGTCCCTCTCTAATCCGGCACTTGTTTATCCAGCACCCTTGCAAACCAGCACACTTTCTGGCAAAACGGATTTTTTCAGTTCATTTTCTACGCTTTAATCCGGCACTTGAATTCCGCCTCCAGCAGCGATTTTCTGCAGCAAATCACTCAAACTGTACATAATTCGATTTTCTAATCCAGCAGTTGTACATCGCATACCGTCAGGGAGCATTGTAACATACACAACACATGTAACATACACTTGGGAGTATCCTATGCCAGTGCATAGGATATTCCCAAGTGTATGTTATAGACATGCATTCCACAAAGTACTTGGATTGACACAGAAAATCCCTACGTTTTGACGTACGACACAAACATGTATGTTAATAGGTGGGCCGGGTTGGAGGGCAGGGCCGGCGCCACTGGTACGGCCGGTACAGCCATGGCTGTACCAAAAAAAACCCGGATGTTGAGCCATAAATAAATGTAGAAAGGAAAAGGACATAATGGATACGAAAAAACGGGGAGAAAAAGTTTCGATGTATGATTTTGTACAGGGAGTCGCCCAGAGTGCAGGATTTGCCGTCTAAATTCCAAAAATTTCCTGGGGGACGACCCCCACACCCCCCTTAAACATGGCCCTTCGGCCGCACCGCTCCGCGGAAGCAGCCTCCGGCCCTGTTGGAGGGCAGGATTTGATAATCCAGCACCCTTGCTTATCCAGCAGAAAATGCCGTTGCAAAAGGTGCCGGATTAGAAAGGGACGACTGTACATAGGCTGGGCATATACATGTACCATACATAGCTCCAACACTTCTCCGAGGCGCAAACCAACAACCTTCCAACTTGGAAGGCTTAGGTTAGAGGTCCAAGAGGGGAAGGAAAGCGCAACGAGGAAGAGCACGAGCTATGCCCCACGGCAATAAAAAATGCCGAAAGTTACTGGATGATGACGAAATAGGTGTCAGGCCGTTGAATGTCTCAGCGCAGTACTCCTTGTCAGTTTTGTACCATTTTGTCGCTCTCCCTGGCTGTATACGATCTGGTTACGTTAGGGTGGACAGTTAGTCATAACTCGTAGCATTTTTATTTTTTATCCTTCTCCTTTTTCCATGAAAAAGGTTCAGTTTAGTTAGGATTCAGTTTGGAAACTTAGTTCAGTGTACCTAATCTCTGCAACTACACCATAGCAAAGGTCCCTGGTTGTGTCCTGGTGGCGACAGACCATTTTTCTCCAGAATTTAAGTCTATTTTCCGCCCCTTTTCAATCCCTCAAACTGACGAGTGTTCATGTGGCCCTCAATCCAAGCCGCTGCCGCTGGCTGGCTAATAGCCAAGAGTGGTTATGCACTCTTGGTATAGCTAGTAGATCTACGACTCTACAATAGCTTGAGGCTGTTCGTGTGCCATAATCATAAACATAGTCACATATTCAGTGGTGACGTCCAAATAGATAGGCCCACGTGATGATCGCTGATGTGTTTTTTCAGGGTATCTGCTTGGAATCACACACGCTAAAGCTTCGTGGTTTTGTCGCCTGCAGGCCTGTCATGTCAGCTGAGCTATGATTTGCCAGCTAGGTGCGTGCCGTGCCCGTCCCGCATACACATTCAGTCATCTGGAAAATATTGTTCCTCCATAGGTTCTTTCCATAGGAATCAATGTTGGCGTGTTTGCCGTCTGTTGCTGTCTATACACTCAGAGTTAGTTACGAAGCTGACATCGACGGAGGAGAAGGGAAGGAGTGCAGCAGCTTCGATTCGAATTTAGGTGCGCTCAAAAGTCAAAGCAAGGACGCACTATCCAGGTGGACACAAGGTGTTCTTTTGGCACTAGCTTCATCTAATTCTACTTACCTTTTATTCACCACTTCAACGTCGTCGACGAAGTAGCTGTTAGGTTCAAGAAGTAGTTCCGATGATGGATTCAGCTTCCTCGTTCGGCAAACTGCTCCCAGCGCTGCTGCTGCTGTGTTTCAGCTATGCTTGCCACCATGCTCGAATAGTACCGTTAGCCGACGCCAAATCCGTCCCCAAGCAGCAGTGGCCTGGGTGCTTGGCTAACATGTTCATCGCTGCCAAGATACCGCTGGCCGACTCCATGCGATACGAGAAATCTCTCCGAGAGAGCAACCTACAGGGAGCAGTCCTCACTAGCCGCGGGGCATCGGGTGCCCGCGCTTACTACCTTGCACAGTAAGTAGGGTTGTATACATGGAGGTTTTTTTTCGATCTACAGCAGTACACAGGTACAGGAACTTCGTTGTTGTTGACACCAGCACCACAGTAGATCTATGACTGTGCAGACAAGAGTGCAGTGAAGCATGATAGTATGATGACATTGCTTCAGTGCATCACACCATCTCACAGGCAGCCCCAGCGGTTACTGACCGTTCCACAGTGCAGAACCAATGCTTTGTTTCAACGAATAAAAAGTGATATCAGTGAGCGCGATTGCAAAAGCAATCCGGCATAAGCCCAATGGAATGAGAAGGCACAACAAACTTGGAGAACACGACAAAATACATTGCAAAATGTGCATCTATGATATTGAAATGTATTTCATGAACTAGAAAGCCAGAGGCACTGGGTGCGCACCACAAGCATCATGACATGATGCTTGTGGTGCGCACAGAGTGTTTAATACATTGTATTAAAAAGTGTATACTAATGTGCCTTTATATCTTGTGTGGATCTAGGTTTGCAGGCATGCCGGATGTACATCGTAAACTAGTTGACGCTCTCTGCGAGGATCCAAGTGCGTGCTACCCGTGCGGCACCAGGGGAAGCTGTTTCAAGAACCTGCAGCCTGACTCCGAGCCAAGCCAATTCCAACGTCTCTACATGTGCCAGTGTCCGGATGGATTCAAATCACTGGAGTGCGTAGGTAATTTATGTCGTGGCAACAGCACACACAAGCAGCCATGCCTGAATGGTGGAGCGTGCCAGAGACTGACAATAGCACCATACTATTCCTGCGCCTGTCCAAGACCGTTCAGGGGGCAGCGGTGTGAGACCGGTGACTTTGAATACGATCCATGCCACAACAAGCCATGTAAGAATGGGGGCACATGCTCACCAGACGAGGCAGACCGGAGCAAGGCCAACTGTGCATGTGTACTGGGATTCAGCGGTGTGCACTGCAGGACCATGTGGCTCCAACCGACCGTTTGGTACAAGCTGGTCCGTGGCATGGAGCGTAACAGAGATTCAAGTGTTAAAGTACTCCACACGGTCAAGCATGGTATCGCACTGTTGAAAGGTTATACGAGTGCAGCTGAAGAAAACAGGCAGCTCCATGCCGAAGTGTCAAATCTGAGTGCACAAGCACACCTGCTCTCGGAGAGAGTTCAGGAGGCTTCCCGAGCCGCGAGTCTGCACACCAAGGCAAGAGTGGACATGCTTGAACAGATGAAGATTATCTCCAAGGACCTGGCCAAGATGAAATCCAGCGGAGAAGCTGCCCGATATCAGCTCCACCATGGCAATGTTACATGGAACGAGGCTGCGAGCAAGTGCAAGCATCTTGGCGGAAAACTTGCAGCAATCCACAATGAGCAACACTACCAAGATCTCCTTGCTCTCAGGGGTATAGGCAGAATGAAGGGAGCCTGGATTGGGGCAAGGAGTAACAAAGATGCCAGTGGCAACCCATCTCATTACACCTGGATTGACGGCGAACAGGTACTTGCATCGAACTGGGCACAAGGGCAGCCACACCATCATGTGTTGGGACGGCGCTGTGTCTTTGTCAGCTTCATCAAGATATCACCGTCTGGAGCTCCTTGTGCTTGGCTCACGGACAAATGCAGCTCTCTTTCAAGCCTAGTGGGAGGTTTCATCTGTGAACACGTCTGAACAAGTCAACTGCGTGTGCAATGACTGTGTGTGCCATGCCTGTGTGTGCCATGCCTGTGTGTACCATGCATGTGTGTGCTATGACTGTGTGTGCCATGACTGTGTGTGCCATGACTGTGTGTGCCATGACTGTGTGTGCCATGACTGTGTGTGCTATGACTGTGTGTGCCATGACTGTGTGCGCTATGACTGTGTGCGTTATGACTGTGTGTGCGCTATGACTGTGTGTGCGCTATGAGTCTGACTGTGTGTGTGTGCCATGACTGTGTGTGCCATGACTGTGTGTGCCGTGACTGTGTGTGTGTGTGCTGTGACTGTGTGTGTGCTATGACTGTGTGCGCCATGCCCGTGTGTGCCATGACTGTGTGCGGCGCTATGCCTGTGTGTGCCATGCCTGTGTGTGCCAGGGCTGTGTGTGCCATGACTGTGTGTGCCATGACTGTGTGTGCCATGCCCGTGTGTGCCGTGACTGTGTGTGCCATGCCTGTGTGTGCCATGGCTGTGCGCGCTATGACTGTGTGTGCTATGACTGTGTGTGCCAAGACGTTGCATGCTATACGTACTCAAAGCTTTCTTCCTCTTGACCCTAGCTGGGTATGGAAAATAGCACTGGTGAGTGAAAGATTAAACGAGCACTTACTGCACTACTTACTACTAAAGCCTCTTGTACGGGCAAAAAGAAATAGATTGAGTAATCCACTACTTTTAATAGTGCAGCACTGCAGCACTGCAGTCATTATGATCTCCTTATTATAATTATCTATCCCTACCTCTAACTTTCTCTTTCTCTACCTATCTCTGTCTACGAGCACTCTCGTATCGCTAGCCGTAAGTAATGATTGCCTTGGTACTGGTATGGTGTGAAACTCAGACTGACGGCCTGAGTATAACTGACTTGGTTCTCTCTGTCTGTTCCTAGTGTGTGGATGGTGGTGGACAGTTTGTGTGCGCTGAGCACTTTGAAAATTAATGACAGTGCCTACTGGTGTTCAGCTGTTTAAACTATGCTGATGTGTCTTTGCTCGACTCACTGCTGCTGGCAAAATGTCATCACACCCGATATACAGTGTGATTTAGCAGGAAAGGTTCTACAACATTCTTTTTAGCAGTAAATTTACAGTAGTTCATTATGATCATCCACGTCTTACAGTCATAATGATCTTGCAAGGCCTCACACACATTATCATGTATGTATACCGTAGTGCTCCTTGCCTGTGTGAGCCGTGGGGTGATTGATCTTACTGATTGTAGGCGTACAGTGTCATCGGAGAAACAATTTCTCTCCCAAGCTTCTGTTTACGTGAGTGACATAATTATAACTTTCCATCGGTGCTGATGTGTGTTCAAAATCGTCGTTCTCGTCTATGCCTCGTTCTTGCCCTCCCTGCGAGTACCGGCACATGCTGGCTGATTGGAGGTTTGGCCGAACGCAGTGTAACTGTGTTGCCATGGCTTGCCCGCTCTTTTCACATGAGAAATGTCCCCAACCACTGGCTCAGCATGGTGTTTTTTAGAGATTGGGCTAGGGAGCCCTACACATAACGCATGGGTCGAACACCCTGCATGTATTGAACCCACAAAATATGAAACGCAAGGTTGCCATGGTACATGATAGGGAGGTGTGGTGTGTACAGTGTGGCTGCCATGGTATATGATAGGGAGGTGTGGTGTGTACAGTGTGGCTGCCATGGTACTGGTACAAGTATAGAGAGGTGTGCACGCCGTGACCATGGTGACGGTATGGCTGGCTGCTATTAACTGGTACTACTGCGTAACGGACAAAACAGCACTCACTACACGGCAACTGACACTGGTGAAACTTACTTCCGATGACATCCAGTACTAGTACATACGAGTCGCACCACCATGTACTGGTAGTTGTACAAACACATCAGTCAATACATGAACAGCTACTATGTTGACTAAATAGCCGCTAGCACAAGACAAATGTACATTGTCGCTTGCTTGCGTGTGCGAGCTAATCCAAACACACAGGCGTAACTCATTCCATTATACCATACTTCAGTCAAGGTCAAACATAAAGCAGAATAAACATCAGCGAATAATCGTGCAATGTAGAAAGTAGCAAAAGCATAAGCAGCAAAACGACCACGCGTGCGTCATGGGTTCATGGCCGCTAAAGCAGCGTGTAAGGAAGAAAAGTAAACTATACATGTACTACTCAGGTGGCCAGAAGAACAACAAAGTTTCCTAGGCTATGCAAGTTACCTACAAGTGTATACAATTTCAAAAGTAACTACTACATGTGAACAAGTATCAATGATTAAAAAATATATAAAACGTCAGACGAAAAAATGCATAAAGTTTCTTTCATGAGAGCAGAAAGTAGAAAGAATTCTGGGTGCCGTGATTCTGAAATGACTGTGTAACAACACAGCGCTGAGATTGGGACAAAGGCGAACCAGTGAGTGAGTAAGTGAGTGAGTGAGTGAGTGTGTGTGTGTGTGTGTGTGTGTGTGTGTGTGTGTGTGTGTGTGTGTGTGTGTGTGTGTGAGAGAGAGAGAGAGAGAGAGAGAGAGAGAGAGAGAGAGAGAGAGAGAGAGAGAGAGAGAGAGAGAGAGGAAGAGAGAGAGATTTTCAAAATACAAGTGAGTAGAGACAGCTACTGTCATTCCGCATGGTGTGCTCCAAAGAAGCATGATTGTCATCTGATGGCAGCAAACCAACAGGCACACAGCAAGAACTTAACGTGTCCCAGTCCCTGTACCAGTCAAAAACAGTAGTGTTCTGCAAGCCGGGACTATTGTAAACGTTCACATCAATCCACTTGTCATGCATGTAACTTGTTAGTTAGTTACACAACACACGATGCACCCTGTGATTGAAGTGAACGTGTAGCCAAACTCTGGCCTACATACACCGTGATAAAGTATCGGTAGTAGGCCAACACACCTGTTCTGTGCTGTACCGGTGGTAAGTTGAAGTACTGCAAACGCTCTCATTCCTCTCTACCATGACAGACGAGGTTATGCGCCCTGGTCAGGTTCTGTACGACATTCAGCATGTCATCGTACATCAGCGCGCTGTTCGCATACTTGAGTAGCTTTTCTAGCCGCGACTTCTTGTCGTACTCCAGCGGCCGGAACTCGCCGGCGCTGGGCACTGGCAGCAGCTTGCCGGCGTAGTCCACCTGCCTGGGTGCTGGTGTCGGTCGCAGTGAGCCGGACGGGGATGGAGTCGGTGATACACTACGCGGTGCTACATGAGGCTGCTGTAGATTTGCCATGGCTGCCGCGTTGGCTGCAGCTGCTGCAGAGGCATCGAAAGATGGCACTCCCTGGGTAGCTGTTGGTGGTGGGTACGGGGAGTTAGAAGGCTGACTGAAGTTGTTCATGGGTGGCTGCCCAAAGTTGTCAGCTGGGGGTTGGGAGGCTCCACTGGGCGGGGGATTGAAAGAGGTCGGGGGTCCCTGATTGAACGTGGAGGCTGGGTTCGTGGGAGGAACAAAGGATGCCATAGGATTCATAGGCTGGACGAAACCCGGTATGGCGTTAGGATCACCAGGATGTGTCGCTGCGTTCACATCAAATCCACCAAATCCACCAGTGCCACCCTGTTGTGGTGGATATCCAGACTGTGCTTGCTGAGGTGGATAGCCAGGCTGCGCTGCCGCTGCTCCTGCCAATGGGGGACCACCAGCTGCAGCAGCAGCATTGTCATCATCACCCTCGTCACCACCTACTGGACCAGCAATCGGGGTTTGGCCATCCTTCAGACAACGGCTAATATACGCGGCTTTCCACTTGGCATACTTCTGTTTTTCCTGGACTTCCTGGCTCTGCTCACCAAACTGAGACACAATTTCAAATAGAATATGGGCTGTGTAGAAGGCCTTCACAACGTTCTTACCGAACCGGCCGCCCCGGTCCTCATTATCAGCATACGTAAACAGTTGCAGTGCTTTGCTCTCGACATGTGCCTGGGCAACAACTTCGGACGTAACAGCCTCATCACCGACTAATTGCTTCTTCATCTGTTCCACTTGATCCATCATTGACAAAAGAAATGCATCTGCTTCTTTGGGTCTCTTCTTGCCCAACTGGCTAAGAGCTTTCTGGATAGCATAGACATTGCAATAGTAGGTAATCACTGGGTCTCTTTTCTGAAACTCCTTTCCAGTTTTCAGAATTGGTGAAACAAATTTCAGGCAATCTGGTTCTTTCAACGCCGCCATCAGGACTCTGAGCTTCTGCTCGAAAGCAAATCACTTGCTTATGTTGCAGACACGAAGGGCCCAGTTGACCTTGGCGAGAAAGTAGAAAACTAAATGCCTCAAAACAAAAGTTTGAATTCTGAATATTTTCTCATGTTTTCGGCTCTCATCAAAACGCCAGTACGAGTACATGCATGTACCAAGAATTACCCATATAAAAACCGCTCTGTGAGCGGTTCTGAAAAACCTCTACTGGTGCAGCCCCGTCGTAAAAGTAAGAAATTAGAACTGGCGCATTGTCCTCCCAAATGTGAACTGATCCACCTAAATCGCGATTGACGGGACCCGAACGCACCAGTAGCACGAAGTTCCTACCTGTGGATGCAGCTGGGGACGCTGGTCCATAGCCAAAGCCAAAGCGGCAAAGGTGGGCTTCGGGGTGGATCTAAAGTGTTGTATGGTAACTTGATCAGCGCCGACGCCGGCTGTGATCCTGTGCCCTCCCGACCTCGTGCTACTGGTGCGTTCGGGTCCCGTCAATCGCGATTTAGGTGGATCAGTTCACATTTGGGAGGACAATGCGCCAGTTCTAATTTCTTACTTTTACGACGGGGCTGCACCAGTAGAGGTTTTTCAGAACCGCTCACAGAGCGGTTTTTATATGGGTAATTTCAGTTCTTTTTCTGTTCCCTCCCCACCCCAGCCCAGCTCCGAAGATAAACATGGTGAGCACGCGCGCGATGCACTGTATGTAGCCATGCAACTGCAGTAGCACACTGAAACATTCCAGCCCTCCCCACCTTGCTACCCCGCACACAGACACCTTGTGACAAACACGCACATGCACATGGCACACACACACATGGGCACGCACACACATACATACATACACACACACAACCCAAACAGGAAATTCTTGATGAACATTGTATAATGCCATGGAAAGCAGTGGCCACCATACTTCAGGAAGTCAGTTGTGAAACAAAAATAATTCAACTACAATGTGTAGGTAAGCTGGCGGCCAAAGCACAACATTGCAAACCGTGATGATATTTGCCTAAGGATTGCAGTTTGCAGACCACACCATGGAAGCAGTGAATACAGAATTATGGTAATGTCATTTAAAGACAAGCAAAGAAGTGGCCACCATACACCAGAAACTTGCAGAAAGTCACATATCCAACAGATAGAGAAGTGAACAGCATCTGGTACAGCACACACAAAACCAAGCTGACCTGATACTCGTCCGAAGATCGTAAGTGGCAGATCCTTTTCAACGATAGCATGCAGGTGTACGTTACACGCATTGACAAAATCTGACTGTGTCACCGGCATACATTGTCATCACATGCATACCCCACAAGTTACACACATGCACAGTAGAAGCACAATAAAAGCAATGGAAAAATATGAAGGGGTTGCTGAAGCATCTTCACACTTCAATTTCAGACTTCGATGTGGTCGTCACGGGGTGATATACCTGCAAGATACAAGTGATACAGAAAGAAAGCATAAGGTCGTGAGGTAGGCTATGAGACACCACAAATGGGTCACCTACATGTATGTTAAGGGCTGGTGTACACACACACGCAGAATTATCATAATCGAGAATTTCCCAAACTACAGAAGAGCAATGAAATCCATTTGCATGCACAGGAGAAATTTTGCAGTATGATGCGCAGCTCGGGAATACACCTGTTGGCAATGGATTACATTCCCATTGGAATTCCCATTCACGTGGGATTCACAGAAGCAATTTGGCAGTGTGCTGCGTAATGCGACACGACCTGCGATTCTGCGTGCGATGCAAACTCGCACAAAATACCATTCACAGAATCACGACAAGACGTCAGCGATGCAACAGCGCCTTGCTGACGTGCCTCAAGTCAAAGCTCAATGAGAATGCGTTTGTCGGTTACAACTGGTACAAATGTACAAGCAATTTCTGAAAATGCTCCTGTGAATCGTGCTAAGCAGTGCAGGAATGTCCCTCCTCCGCTCCCCCCCCCCCCCCCTCCACACCCTCAGGGAACTTGACAAGGAAGGGTGGTCTTCGCGGTTCCCAACATCTATTTGCAGTTTCTGGTCTCCACTATGTCTTTTCAATGGGGATTTGTACGTACCATAAAAGCAAGCCTAAAAAATGAACAGCACATTTGCCGTCCCCCCACTGGGGAGGATGCATTCCACAGCTATCCTGACAAGATATTCCGAGAAGCGGTGCTGAGTGCAATGCATTGTGAAACTGAAAAGCTGACCAAGCCGCGGCATATAACGTCTAAACTTCAATTGTAGTTCGCCAGCTGACTACTTTCAAACTCCATGTAGGTTGGAGTACAGCTGGCTTAGAAGTTGACAACAACGGCGCACGCACATAAGCAATGGCCACCTTACCTGTACTGTAGCAGTACTTCCGAGTTCCCGTATGGGAGTGCCCACACTGTGTGTGCAATAGCAGCCTCATCGGACCAGTTCAATGCGACGCGGACAGTCCGACACTGAGGAGGACATTGAAGAAGTCAGAGACAGGAAGAATGGTTGATTTACAATTCAACTAGCAAGGCTGCACACCCACGAGGTTCCACTCACCATTGTGCCGTCCTTCTTGGAATGCAGAAATAACGCTTCCTCTCGAGAACGCAGCCTGTGACAGAGAAAAAGGAAGGAGCATCGCCATCGGCATTGGTCCTCTGCTATCACCGATTGCCGAGTTGCACAGTTCACTCTAACAAGACTGAGGATGCTCAAGAACTCCCCATCCATACCATTATTGGAGTAAGAGGAAAGGTCAGATTGCCTAGTTCCTAGGGCCTAGTATTCCTGGATGCCAGGATGTGCTGCCCCCCCCCCCCCCCCCGCCCCTCCCTTCTACTGCCTGGAAAGGGCAACATATGTGACAGCGTTCACCAGTACAGTCGGAGGAGAACATGGGAGAAGGCAAAAAAGGGCAACACACATGAATCCCTTATAAACAAGCAGTGGCAACTCTAGTACCAGCAATGTTGGACTTACATCCCAGCCATTGTCGCCGGATGCAGCGGCTTCTTCTTCTTCGTCTCCCATCTTGGAAGCACTCCTTCCCGTAAGTTCAGTCCTGGGATCGGGAGTACAGTCGGAGGAGGACGTCGGAAAAGGCAAAAAGGCAACACACATGATCCCCTTATAAGCAAGCAGTGGCAACTCTGGCACCAGCAATGTTGGACTTACATCCCAGCCATTGCCGCCGGATTCCCACGCTTCCTCTTCGTCGTCTTCCAGTTCCCAGGTTCCATCTTGCAAATACTCCTTCTCGTAAGTAAGTGCAGTCCTGGCCTGGGTGGATGCGCAGTACATTGACGATGGCGGAGATGGAGCAGGTCAGGGAGCCCTATAGGGGTCCCGAGAGCAGATTGTGGCCAAATTCGGGACGATGCCGGACGCCAGTCAGTATGAAGTAGCGAATTGCGGACCGCCACGTAGATTGGGGTCGCGGGGTCATAATCCATGGGCACTACTCGTACGTTGCTCCAAAAAAGGGCACTGCACTGTTCCACAGTTGCTGTTAGCGGTCGCCAAAGGCACTTGGTAGGCCGGTAATTGGGTCACGTGTCAACAAAGTGTCAACAACGTGTCAACAACGTGTCGACCACGTGTCTTTAGCGGTACACTAATTTTGGTGTCCCCAAACTGAAAACATCGAGCACCAGTATGGAAAGGCTTTAGACAGAAAGCCTTTCCAATGTGCATGTATCACTGTACTGCAGCTGTACATGAAGAGCTTGAGAACAAAACGCTGTATGCGCCAAATCTTCAAAATCGAGATTTTTGACCCAACTGAAAGATCACATCGAGCTGAATTTGATGGCGAGGTCATTTTTGGCGAAAACGCAGTACATCCTACAGAAAACCCCATTCAAACAGTCGCTTTCAGAGCAAAACGCTGTATATCCGGCTAGGATTTTTTTTCAAAACGCAGTATACGCCAGTTGTCATAGTTATACAGTCGTGGGCAGCGCGCGTGGTGTTCAGAACGCGCAGAACACTGCTTTTTGTCATTTTTTCAAACTAGTTCGAATTATTTTTTTGAACGAGCGCTTGACTCGACTTATGGCTGTCAAATTAGCTTTCTCTTCTTCCTGACGCTGTCAAAGCTCTTGTCTTAGACATCAGCGTGGCGGAGGTGACATTAGATGGTATGAGTGAGCCAGTTGTTTTGTCTCCTGCTGGGAGAGGGCGTCTTGTGCCTATATTCTCACCCGGATATACTGCGTTTTGCCAAAAAGAAGGTGAAAAATTCAAAAAATATCAAAATCTGAGAGGTGTGGATTTTTGATGACATGGTGTTTGGGGTCCAGTATTCCTTCTGGTACTAAATCCAAATTTCCATTGGGATGGGATGTAAGACAATGTCAGAACAGAATTTTGACTTTACCCGAAAAGTGCCAAAATGGATATACCGTGTTTTGTTCTCAAGCTCTTCACATGTACCGTGTGTGTGGTGATATGACATGATCCTGCATGATCTGAAAGGAATGATATGAGCTCATCAAACAGCAAGCACGTCATTACTTTCCCTCAGCTAGCTAGCTACGCGTACACAGTCATGCTGATGAGATCATTTCAGTCATTGACATATTCAGCTGCCATGATCAATAGCTGCAGTATTACATAACTATTAAAAATGATTACCGGTATGTTACTCCATAAGATACAGTCAGCAGACTCTAGCTCTGACAGTGACAAGTCTGTGCTGCACAACAACACTCAACAGCTCTGGCGTTGGTTTGTTTATTTCCTATAATTTGGCCTGGTTGCTACCAGTTCTACTTCCAGTACGATCAAGAGTACGCACACGCACACACACACACACACACACACACACACACACACACACACACACACACACACACACACACACCATACCACACGTACATACACACGTCTGTCGCAAGAGAAGCATGCAACTGAACATGCATTGGATGTGCATCCACAGATTTTCCCCTACACCTACAAACATGTGCACACGCATGCACAGACAGACAGACAGACACACACACACGCGGCAACTGTGGACGCTCATAGAACATTACATTACAGCTGTTTAACGCCACATTTTGTAACTGATAAACCACCATTGTAGAGAGACAGCGAACTGAGCTACAGGTACTTGTACATAAAAGTGTACTGCATGTCCCGAAGAGTAACGTTAGAGCAGGAAAAAACCAAGGCACATTATAAACATGAAATGTGCGTGTGCGTGTGTGCAGGAACATGTAAGCCAGGTCAGGTTTAGCCAGTTCAGACGTGCTGCTGGTACGATAAAAACAAAATTAGAAAAGAGAAACAAAAAAAGACCGAAAGAAATAGCTGACACGATGGCCGCATGCATGCATATCCCCACGGCCCGGGCTTACAACACAATGCCGTTGTTATTACCAGCAGTTGTGAAGAACAAAAGAAATGCACGTACCGGTACATGTACAGGCAAAACTGGAGGG